TCATAGACATGAATTTAAAGTGCTATTTACAGACTTGATATAGTTTCTAACAATACAGCATATTTAAAGATCCTGTTCAATTTTCCTGAAAGAGCAACAAGTTATGTCACAGATGATTATTATTAAACACGTTTTGTCTTGCATGCAGTGTTACTATTTCACTTGGCAATCCCATGTATTGAAGATTAAGATGCCGTTTTCAACCACGGCCTCCTTTCCTTTTCTACCAGGAATACTTTTTGTCTTGTGAATACTGTTTTCATGATTGTAACGCTGATCTAGGAAACCTTTGTTTAAAAAATAGGGCTGGTTTGAAAACACTAATATGAATCAGACAGTAACATGGCTTGCTAAAAGAACTCTTATTCTGTGGTTGATTTTAAATGCTCATAGATAAAGACTGGGTCGCCTAGTCCTGCAAGCCCTTCTGTTTCATTCAGTGAACATTATAGCGGCTGTTTGTCTACACAGTGATGTTGGCAGGAGCAGTGCTTGAGTGCACCTTTCCCAGTGCTCAACGCTTGGACGGTTCTTGACCATTCACAGAGCTGCCTGCAGTCCCTTAATTAGAAACAGATGTCCTAAATGAAAAGGATGATTAGAGCAATGTTAATGGTTCAACTGCTAATCGCAAATTTCTGGCTGTATTTTGAAGTTCAGTAGGGTTTTTTTGGTATGCATAAAGAAAGCAAATTTCTGAATTGTTGGTACACAAGTGATTGCACAGTGTGACAAAATGGTATGTTAATGTGGGTTGAAAGATGTCAGTTCCTTATAGTAACAGTTTTCCTGGAAGGTACTTGAGTAGAAGATTTGTGAAGGATTTTAAGTGTTTTTTCGTGTGTATTTGTGTGTGCCTGTGTATGTAGATGTGTATGTACACCCATCTGCACTTGCATATAGTTGTAGGAAAATTCTAAAACCGATGCATCTGTACTTGTGGATGATTTATTTCAGGTCTGCTGAATACGTTTTTTTAAAAGCTGGGTGTTTTTTTTAAATATTTGCCTGACCTGCAGGAAAGGACCCCCTTGGGAAATCAGTGTAAAATTCTCATAGACTTTTCTCCATTTGTATATACAAGAATGGACAAAACCTATCCCAGAAAATGCCTGCTTTTGATAAATAACAGTTAATATAATTGCTTTAAATTTATTTTAATATTTTTCATCTTTTTAATAGTACTTCTTGTTGGTTGCTTTATTGGCATTAACTTAAGAAAAAACTTTACTTGTGAAAGTTTCTGTCATCTTAGAAAGCACAGCAGAAATACAACTTGTAATTAGCATCTGGACAAACTGGTTTCAGCTGTTGTATATTTTGATTTCTGGAGGTTATGTCTTTTTCCATTTCCCTTCCTTCCCCCAGTACACACCTCATGAATTTACAAATACATCTTTGTTTTGCTGTTCGTCAGATCAACTTTTCCCTTCTATTCTTTTCTGAAACTTCGGTTCTGCCTTAGAAAGTCCTCTCTTTCAACACTTCTGTCTAATACAGGTCTCTCTGATCACTTTTTATTTTCTCTCTCATTTACTGGCTTTCTTTAGTCCTTTGTTCACCCACATAATTCCAATGAAATTGTTCATCTTTAAGGCTTTAGTGGCCTCCTCCTATACATAACTCTATTACAGTTTCAGTTTGTGTCAGGACTATGTTTTTGAAGTGAATCTTCCTTAAACTCTGCTCACTGCATTTTGGTTCACTTCAGGGAGCAGTCCAGGAGCAATCCCAACAGGTAATGGGTGTCCAGTCCACAGGACCAGACTAGGACTAGCTGTTAACGTTAAAAGCTGCTGGAAGTGTGGATGTCAGATCTTCAGTGCTGGCTCTCAGTTTACAGATGCATTTCTGCTGGTGCACACTACTTCCTAATGCAGATGTGGCCTCTGCTGCCTTGACTCCTGTTGCTTCCCTGGGCTTTGCTGCTCCTTCCCTCACTCCTTCAGTCTTACCTGGTGTTTCCACATCTGGAATTTGGTTCACCCACAACCTGAACCCAGGGTCACCTATGTTCAGCCTCCATTCAGCCTTGCTTGCATCCAAAATTTCCAGCTGGGTGCTCTCTGATTCTGATCTTAAGCTGTGACACAAACTGATCCTGTCTCCACTTTGACTGTCACAACTTCTTGTGTTGTGTTACTGCCAAGATACTTTCCCTGTGAAGTACGTATCTGTTTATGGTCTTTCCTGTTCTGTGTAGAGACTGAATGCCATTCTTCCCTTTTGAAGCACTCCATGCAATTGCACCTGTCCAGATATCCTCATACTAACCCCATTTTTTTTGTAAGCCACTTTTCACTGAGAACACCATCTGAGCATTTCATCAATTACTGTCTCTGCAACTGTTTGTACATCCTATCTTGTGTGTATAGTAGTGTCACAGCTGAAGTGTAGCAGGATCTCCCTTTGTTTCAGAAAATTCTGAGAAATCCAACTTGAAGAGCTTGCTTCCTCAGTGAATGTACTGTGTATTGCTTCAGTTGTACAGCAAATAGTGCATATTTTTGCTTAGTAGCTTGTCCACATTGAAAAATACCATCTTTTTCCGGTGTGCTTTTTGTATGTACTAAGCGATAGTACACACTGGATTTTTGTGTCAAAATCAGGTTGGCTTTTTCAAGTGTCCTTGCATGTAGCAAGTGTTCATATAGCTATGTTAAGGAAAGTCTATACACACGTGTATGTATGTTAAAATGCTGTTTCTAGCAACTTCACTGGTAATGTAGTTTCAGAAGTTGGGTTTGTGCTTGAGAGCTAACATGTTTCAGTATACTATAAGGTTATTTAGACTTAATACAACACTTAACATTATGGAAAAATCTTGCCTCTTGCAGCTGTTACACTTGCAAACAAATGCTTCTGTGTTGAAGCTTGTTTTCTTTAAGAAGCTGGTGAAAGCTCAGCTGAGATACAAGAGAACTCCTTGGTCTTTTTGAGCTACATGCACTTACAGGATTAGCTGTATTTCTACTTGCCTGTTTTACAAGTAGTACTCTCTGTCTATTACCCAGCCTTACAGCACTGAATCCCAAGTTTTTTCCAGGTGACTCATTTCTGGCTACAAACTGTTTGTGCTGTTTAATTACCTTCTGTTTGCTAATGCCATTTCCATTTCGTGTCTCTGGTTTGTAAGTTGTGCTGCGGCAGGGCTCTTTTTCTGATAAGCAAGCAGTGCTAGATTTATATCGTTGCTAGCAATATGTGTTCACTGTGCTGTAAGATGCAAAGTATGACTGCATCGAAGCACACAACTTGAAATTTCTTGGAACATAACCTTTCTATCCAGTTCAGGCAATGAATATGCCTGCAGAATAGAAGGTGAACTCTGGCATCTGAGGAGCAGCTCTTCAGTCATATTGTGGGGGCTTTTTAAGTCTCTTTTATATTCTGGGTGTGTGCTTGCAAATATAAAGGCAAAAGTCATTTGTTCCTCCCCAGTGAAAGCACTCACACAAAACATGCAGTTTTCATTGCTTAACTAAACTACTTAAACAAGACATGTTTTTTTCTTTGGTTTTGCTAATTGCACAGGAAGAATGCTTAGAAAATACTTAACATAGTAATTGAATCAGAGGAAGAATGAAAGGGGTCACCTGTTGCCATGTATGTTTTAGCTGTCTGTTTAGGATATGTTTCAAGCTGTGTTTGGTTGTTTTTTTTTTTTTAGCAACATCTGTTCCACCTCCCATTCTCACCTCACAAGAATGCATGTGTATGTGTGTGTGTTTGTGTGGGGAGAGAGGATGTTCAAGGTATGTTAAGCCATTTGTTCAAACTGGCTTTGCAGCAGCATCAAAGAAATTTGAAAGGTGATGCTAAATTTTAAAAGAAAAAGATGTCAAAAGCAACAGAAAGCAAAAATGCCACACTTAGATTTTTGGGGGATGTTTAATTAATACTCATTAGGATTCTTACTTTCAACAAAGCTCTGAGGAAAAAGGTCATTAATATAAGACATGTATACACTGAATGTTGATGAAAAAAATAACTTTCTGTAGTGTTAAAACTTAGTTAATGCCATTTTAAAGAAAAAGTATTAACGTGAAATTACTGAATATTGACCTGTTAATGACAGCTTGTTATTAACAGTTGTTATCTCCTGGCCATACTGGGGATGGTGTTTGATGGTATTGGAAGACATGATTTGCATAAAAGAGGAGTTTTACGGTATTCTTTAAGGAGACCTTAGTGTTAGAGGCTGTCCAAGAGGGATCAGGCATGTCATGATGGAAGACCATATGGATATTTGTCGTGAGTTGGCCCTTCATGAATTCTTCTCTGAGTGTTTATTGACAGCAGAAAGTTTGATACATAGTGCTTCAAGTATGTTACCTCATTCTGTTCTTAGGTTTTTGCTTCCGAAACTACAGATTTTTTTTTTTTTTTCTTTATGGCATCTGGATTTAGTTACTGGATACTGCTTCACCAGTGCAATGGAGAAGTACAGGATTTGGAATAATGCAAAAGTACTGCTTTAGGAAAATCAAAACATACATGAATTACTGTTTTAATCTTGTCTGCTGAGTGTACACACTGTTTTGTAGACCAGATGATTCATAGCTTTTCTGATATCTCTGTGGGCCTTTGTGTTTTGATTTACATCTTAAAGCTTAATTAAAAAAAGAAAAAGAATCTACAAACTGGTCCAGCAGAGTTGCAGTAGAAACGTGGAAGAATCCAAACAGACAGAAGCTTTTTCACTGTAGCCTGTAGTTGAACAACTCCTGCACAAATCTATAACTTCTGTTTTAAAATACATATTCCTCTAGGTTGACCAGTATTTTATACTGTTTATGTTAGTTTTATTGTTGCATACCTTGCATACATTTGTTCTTGATGCCACTCTTT